CAGGACTAAATATCACGATATTTGTGTTTTGTACAGAGTTAACTAATCATGACTTAATTAAGAAACGAAATGTTACAAATTGTAATATGCATACATAACATTACACAATGTAATATAGATCCTCAGTTTATACAAATCACTCTCTAAACACTCCAAGCCACAACCAGCGCGTGATGCGTGATGCGATGTTATTGAACTACTTGTCACTCAGGATATGTTGATTATAGGGTAGAAGACGAACTCGTGCTAAACGTGACGCGGTTCAACTGCCGGTCACGTGGTTCCCCCTTGACATCCGGTGCTGAACACTAATGACGTATTGCCTTACGTTAATTCAGTTGAAATTGCTGAGCGAGATACAAAGTAGCTTAAGTGTAACATTTGTAGCATATATTGTAAAATTATATATTTACGAAAAGTTGTCAAGGATTCCGTTTGTTTGCGTTCTTTTAACTACTTTTAATTTAATAGGAAAAATTACAAGTACGTAAAATGCACTAGTGAATAAGTATAGATTTGTAATTACGATTTGAAATTACTTCTTTTTCAAGTTTGAATCGTAATATTTTTCTACTCCTAAAATGGTCATTGCATATGTTCCATCAAGCTGCACTAGTATGGTGTTTCGTAAACAGTGCAACAACACAATACAGTAGTTATTTGTGTAATTAGTGGGCGAAGTGGCGCTTTGCTGCACACGAGAGAAATGTTTACGCACGAGCCGTGTGAAAAGTTTTTCGAGTGCAGCAAAGGCAGTTTGCACTCGCTTTACACATTTCATTTTTCCTACATATTCTATAACACTTATAAATTATTAGTCTTGTAAACAACACGTTTTTAGGTTAGGTTAAAATCCAACATTGAACGATACGGTAAACGCTGCGCACCAGCTGATCGTGGTCCTAATATCTTTAAGTGTTGACAACTTATTTTCATGCGTACACGTATTACGTACCTATTGAAAGAACGTGTTGTCGTGTTTTGTGATGTTTGGTTAAAATACTAGTGTGCGACAAAGTAAAAACTGTACGAAAAAGTAAAAAATGTGCGGCAAATTAAGTAAATGCTGCTATCAGCAGCTTTCTGTACTATAAACAGTGCAAGGAAGCCCACTTTGTCGGGTGACTGTAGGGAAAAAATTAAACTTTTCTTATTTAATTATTGTCAATAAATACTTGAAATATAAAATGTTTATCATAAAATGTTTATCTGTTTAATAACTTAGATGTTCCCAGGGATTTTTCAAGTCTGCCAAACTTTGCCAAACCCCATTTTTGTGTAAGTGAAAACTAATTGAAAAAAATTTAATTAATTAGGTTACAAATAATATTTTTTCCTACAGTCACCCGACAAAGTTGGCTTCCTTGTACTGTTTATAGTACAGAAAGCTGCTAATTGCTGCATATTTATACTTTGCCGTACGGTTTATACTTTGCCGTACGGTTTATACTTTGCCGCACATCAGGATTCCAACGAAACAACACAAAACAGCGTGGTTCCATTATGCACGTAATCCGTGTACTCTTGGAAATAGGTTGGCAACACTTAAAGATAATTATACTATGAGCAGCTGATTGACTATTATAACTACGATTTAACCTGTCATTTCGTGTTAATAGTTTCGGTATTTCTGAACTTTCTGAACTTTTCTTTTAAACGTTTTTAAAACCTTCCTACGATCTTAATAAACAAGTAAATACCTTTTGAGCATTTTTTTAGGCGCGGAAACCACTTCAAATTACAAAAACATACGGAACTATATTCTCAAAACGCGGAGCACATTTCTTGCCGAGGAAAAATAGCGGAGTGATATGGACCGCGGGTACTACTTTCTCTAGGGCACCATTTGTGTTGCCAGCTGAACCTAAAAACGTGTTGCATAGTGTTTGAAAGACTAATTATTTATATGCTTTATAGGGACTGTAGGAAAAATATAATGTGTAACACGAGTGAAAAAGGCCTTTGCTGCACTCGAGATCATTCCACACTCGCCTGCGGCTCGTGCGTAAACATTGCTCTCGTGTGCAGCAAAGTGCCACTTTCACCACTAGTTACACAAATAACTATTCTTACTGCTTAACCTCACATCTGCCAATCATTGTTGTTACGTCTTGATCACGTCGTCATTAGCTTGACGTGGCCACGTGGCCAGAGCCGCCATATTGATTTACGAGCTACCGTCAATTGACGTGCTGATCACGTTCACCCCCACCACAACGTCAAAGAAGTAAAGACGTCTTGAATTCCCTTTATTGATTCGCAATTATTTAAATAATAGATGTTAAGAACATTATTTTCTTATCCTTTCTTAGGCTGGTATAAAACAATATCTTCTGTGTTATTGTTTGTTTCTTAAAAGTAAAAAAAAATAAAGGTAAAATCGGTCAGAATTGAGTTGTTGTACGTTACAGCTGCATCAACAAATGTATCATGAAAATTAGTCTTACTTTTACTGGTCATTATTTACCGAACTATTTATTATTGATGTAGGGAACACAGATATTAAAATCTAAGTTTTTTTCAGGTTTGAAATAGCACTTATATAGGTCTGTACGAGTATTGTAATTGAAACATGATCAAATATAACTACATAGACCTCATCTTACACTATTTCAGACCACTCACTAACTATGTATAAATTAAAGGATTTTACTATATCCAGGAATAACTTCTTGATCAGCATTGCACGTGTTATAAAATTTACGGAAAGTAAATAAAAGACTTATCATACACTTTCATTTTTTTGTCGTCTTGTGAGTAACACTATATGCGTAAATATATGTTTTAAGTGTTATAAGACGTCTCTTTTATTTACTTTCCGTGTATCCAGGAATAACTCGGGGATCCAGCATAAGTAAATGAAATATTAGGCTCAAACATTGGCTGATCATTAGATGTAGAGTCAATTGCTAAACTGAATTTTGTGAGTAGTAAAAACCAAACGGTAAATTGAATTACGATTTAGCTTAGTTAAGAGATCTATTAAAAGCATACGTAATAATCAAGCTCAAAAAGGATTATTATCTTTATTGTAGACTATTGGCAGATCCTTGTGGCAATTAAGAGATTTTTATCAACTAGGGATGAAAATATTTATTTACTTAACCGAGGTTTTTTGACATTATAACCCTTAAATGGTTCCAAGAGAATCCCAGTGTCTTTGAAGTAGCATTTTGAAATTGTAGGATTGATGAAAAGGCTATCCTGCCTGAATTTAATGTAATGAAAACCAGGACAATTATGTTAAAACTAAAAACCTAATAAAGAAACCAACATACTTTTAATGGATATTCGTCTTCAGACAGAAATAAAGTCATTAATAAGCGAATACGGATTTTAAAAGTTATTGTAATACAAATAAAAATATTGTATATTTTTTCATCTAAGAGGATCAGTGTACAACAACTTGTTACAAAACTTTTTGATTTTAGAATATTTGTTTCAATAAATGAATGGGCGCTCAACATGATATTAACTTCAATAGATCATGCAGAATAATCCATTGGCAAACAACTCATCAAAACCAACTGTCAGTGAAAATATTCGTAAGCCTAAACACATCAATCTCAATAAATCACTTGATTATTTGCTTTATAAATCCCTCCATATATCAATCATGATAGAATTACAATGCAAACACATTTAGCATGTATTAGTACTGCCATCATCTTGTCAGTTATTGTTCAATACCCTTTAACGACTTGTTTTATTTATGGTAATCCAGTTTATGTATTGGTGAGGAAACACATTGTAAAGAGAAAATGTTAACATTCATATGATAGGGTTTATTATTCATTGTCCTACAAATACTTTATTTCCAACATATGGGTTGTTATAATAAAAACACTCTAGAATATTTACGCGACAGGTGTTCATTGCACAAATTATACAAATTTACAAAATGAAGAATCTGATATAGAGAAGTATTTCAGTCCATACTCTTTTTCGCATGACACCAAAGTGGAAACGTCTTCCAGGGACACATAAAAAATATACCTAATGCCAAAATGCACATCAAATCTTGGATTTGTCTAAGACTATCTAACATTCGTCTAAATTTGTCTTAGAATAAAACTAAATCTGCTATAAACAGATATTTCAATTTCATTTCTGTGGAAAATTGAAGTATTTTGTCCTTTCTTTATTTACCGAAAATATACATGATATGAAATAATTAATGTTTATCACGAAGAATTTTGAAGGATGTAATAAAACCAAAAAGACAGTATCATAGTTTTTATGATAAACTCAATCCTAATGTTAATAATAAACGAGTTGGTGAAAATACAGTCAAAGAAAGTCAGTCTGGTATCTAAGATCAGTTTAAACCTCAATTAAGAACTTCTTGTGGTTTTGAATGGCTTTGATTGCCCTCCATCCAAACTTTTAGTCTCTAAAATATGCTAAGTTAATCCTGTCATCAGATATCTTTGCAAAGTTTAAGTTGAGTTGACTTCTAATGGACTCCAAACTGGTAATATTTAAAAACTAAAATTAAATAAAGCTGTACAACTACTATCATTAGACATCTGCAAAATAATTCATGAGCAGTTGGAACCAACACTAGCTGCTGAAATTGGGCGTTTTATGATATGTAACTTACTGTGTATTATTGTTTTGTTGATGTTTCAAAACATTTTTTCAAGAAAAAAAAAATATAAATTATAACAAAATTATATACTGTATTTTTTACTTTGAGTTGTCTTCATAAGTATGTAATAAAGTTTTTATCTTTTTATCAAGTCAAAATTAAAATGACATATCATTTAGATTGGTTATTAGTTAGTTTTATACTCTTGGAGTACCAGCATACTTTGACTATGCCTGGTTCAAATGCTATTTAGAAATTCCTGTGTAACGGGTATACAAGCTTCTTACTAGCAATTAAATGTGCTAGGAAATACTTGGTATTTATATATTTATTAATAGAGGGTAGGTTTTGCTGGTAAGGAAAACACCACACCACTAGACAATATACACAAACTTTATTATTACACATTTTGAGATAGCGGGAGACAAAGGCTTGGAAGAACAGTTTAATAGACTTAGTGTAATTGGTCTTGACTTATAAATACTCATTATACAATTCGGATGGTTTTAATTATTTATAAAATTCATTGCTTAGTAAACTTCGGCACTATATTGATTGTAACCGTGAATATGTATAAAATTCAGTTTATAAAATCTCGTTGCATGATTTAAATATATACGAAATACAATTCCTCATTTTGATTAGACATCAGGTAACTTTATTAAAACTTATCTAATAAAAATATTAAATATAAATATCATAATGAAACTTTACTAATTTCTTAATACCTTTTCCATTTATTTTACATTGATGAAGTAATTTAACAGTTATTTTTTACTTTTAAGTAAGTGACTAATATGAAATCCATTATGTAACTCATCTATAGTGTTTAATTCACGAACTTATTTTTTTCCCTGAATTGGGTCAAATATGTGCTAGTAATTTTAATTTGAAAGACACCATTTAACTACTTACATTATAAAATAAAGTATAGAAAAGTAGGCCTATAACTATATACTTTTGAAAACTTTCGTTTTTGTTTCTTTGTTCCAAGTGAAAAAGAACTAGTAGTCTATGGGCATATACAAAGATAAAAGTAATATTCAAAATATAAACAGTACACTCAATATGTTGTAAAATAGTGATTTATCATAAGTTACTACTCGTCTAACATATATTAACAGAATTTTTGGCAATAATAACAAAGCAGAATGTTTTAGGCATTCTGAAACAAACGCTTTAAGCTCAAAATAACAACACTGTATAAAAGCTTATTCTTTACAAGTTTAAACAATAATAAATAGAGTTTTACACCTTAATCTAATTTATATTATATTTATACCTTCTACCAACCCTGTATCATTGTTCTTCGGTTTATTTTATCGTACACTTTCTTTCCTCTATAAAGCATAGTTTAATTTTGATTTAATTTCAAGATGCTGTCAAACTGAAATTGTTTGATCGATTCCTAAACTCAAAGAGAAATTTTCAATGATTGATTAATGCCTCTAAAATGTTTCTGATTACATTTTATTAGATTTAAGATAATTTACAATTATGTCTGTAGTAACTTCTAAATTTTAAAATGTGTAAATAGGTTCTTTTGAAACTGTTGAAATTATATAACTATTATTTATTTACACAGTTAGCAAAATTGAGCTTAGCCATTTATTCATTTTCCCATTTATCACACTTCGACATATCCAAAATTACTTACCTGACAATGGTAAAAAAGCTAAAGAATAACACTGTACAGTAGTAGGTAGTAGACACACAATAATCCAACACTTTCAACAAGACTGGAGGAATTTTGCATTACCCTTAATAAAGGATTGCCAAAAGCAATATTATGATTGACCTATAAGCCATTGAAAGTTAACATAAAACACATTATTTTTTATCTTTTAATTTTATCAAAAGAAACTGTCTTAATCCTGGACTTTTTATACAGTTTATATAGCCTTTTTTAAGTGCATCATTAGTTATCCAATACAGTTTTAATTGGTTGTATTTTTTAGCCTAGTGGGTATCGTCTCGACTTAGGTGCGGGAGGGACGGGTTCAATTCCCTGCTCATCCATAAAACTTTAATGGGTTTAGACCGCTTTCATAAGCACATTTAAGCCACGTTGATGTTAATCAAAATGCTACTGGCATAGACAAAAATGTATTACACAATGAAAGATTGGAAGTTGATGGTTGATCCAGAATTGTCTATGCTTGGAAACTAACCATTCTAATAGCCGTGGAAATAATTCAGTTTGGGCAGAATTTCTCCGAATGCTATGTTTATAGGGTAAACAAAAAAATCTGAAAGTGCACAGGTTACTTATTACTGAGTGTGCCAAACAGTGTTGAATTATCCAGTGCCAACTGGACTACTGTACTAGGATTTCAGGGAGTGTTTGAATGCTTAGTAGAAAACTAGAAAACTAGTTGAGGAAAATTCAAATTTTAACGTCAAAACAAGACCACAGGGTTGATAGAAAGCTTGGTCATGACTGGGCTGGAGGCTTGTGGTCGAAACATGTGACTACCAGAACGTGAGACTTGCAGGCATCAACTCTCTTGCGCAGGATGACAGTTTCTTGATGTAGAGCTTCCAGAAAACTGTGTGGGTCGTCCCAGTTCTGCCAGCTGTCCTCCACGTGCACTACCAACATAAGGAAAATATAATTTACTGAACAATCTGTTACTGTTGTGATTATTGATAAGTATGCAACCCTAGTGTTCACATTCTACCACTTGAGAAAAATATTTAAAACATTCTCGAAGTTACTCATTTGATCTAACCTTCATTATTTCTAATTTTCTTCCTTTATACTTTTCTGCTTAAAATTAATTAAAAGTTAATTAATTTTTTTTAATTTTCTTCTTGTTTTTTGCTTGATAAAGTTCAGAAAAATAATATGTAATATCAGTATATTATAAAAATTGATTTAACTATTAAAAAGATTAACAAGAGATAGAATTCCTAGAATCTTAAAAAACTTTACTCCATTTAAATAAACATTTTAAAACAGCATTTGTAGATAATGAAGTGGCTTCTTAAAATGCTTGTAATAAAACTGTTACAATCGTTTTAGAGCAACAATATTTTTATAAAATATAATAACTCTTTACAACTTTCAAGTCAGTTGTAGTTGTTTCAGCTCATATTTATGTATATTTTTATATATTTACTTAATCACTCTTCATCAGTAAGAGTATTCAAACTTTAAAAGCTCAATAGAGATGAAACAATATTATTTAAGTTTTTTAAATTGTTTTATAGAAATGATTATGGATTTTATTTTGTAGGAAGTTTTGGATAGTATATATATTTTGTAATGCATAAAAACCTATAAAAACATTCTGCAAAAATAAAAATAAATAAATTTAGAATTGCTATGATAAATTGTTATATGCTTAATGAACAAATAAAAATAAACTGAAACAAAAAGAAAGTGATGAGTACGTACTCACGTTCGTAGCTCCATCTGTCTTGAGGCACCAGTAGCCGAGCCTTGGCCGAGGCTAGCTCAGCCTTGAGTATCCTCTGTTCTCGCCTGAGTTCTCTGAGTCTGTTAGCCTCGCTCCAGCCTCTTTCTAGTCTCTCCACATCGGGGTGGCAATACTGGAGACCTTGATAGAAAATATAAACTTTTATACCCAATAGTTTTTTTTTTTTTTAAATTGGTGTTGAAATTTAAAATTTGGATATTAATGTGGTATTTAATTTTTATTGTGTCTATGAATAAATGTTGGTGGGAAAATGTGTATTGAGGAGTGTTGGGATGGTTATTTACATTCAAATCGATTTTAATTATATTATCATTATAAATTGAGATGGGCTCACTACTGGCGTGTATATTAACCAAAATATGAATAAAGAATTGGTTTAGATGGGGTGAGATTCTTTGTGTAGTTTTAAAACCTACGGAAATCTGTTTCATTAGCCAGTACGGAAAGGTTAGTCTAGTTTCGATGTATCAAAAAGTTACTGATTTTTCTTCGGGACTAAATCGGTGACTTTCCGATTTCTAGGTGCTATAACCACTCAGCTCCCCAGTTGAATGAATAAAGCTTGTACGGTTAGAAGTTTGTTAATACCATTCTATAAATTGGAATCAATAAAAGTATATACATTTCGATAATAGCAACAAGTTTTATCCTCCCTGTGATATATTCATTTAAACCAGCACCTAAGTCGAATAGACAACATTTCATAAAGTAAAACAAAGATTCTGAAAATTGAAAGATTCAGAAAATGGATAAAAATTCAGAAGTTATAAGAAAGTTACTTTCTGTAGCCTAACAGGAGATAGGAATTTTTATATTTAATTTAAAAGGAAGTTCAGTTTCTAAAATGTCCATTTGATTATTTAATTAATTCAGATCAACCAATTACGTATATTTTAATAGTAACTCAGCTGGTGATTTAGTATTTTTTTAATTTTTAAATTCTTTTGATTAATAGTTTTGCTAGTAAAAATAGGATGAAAGAAGTCTTATTACATTAAAATCTAATTTAACTTAAATTATCTATGTTTACGGTACTTCATATATACTTACTTGCTCCTCCGGGGTCGTGTATGCTGGACTGGGATTGACTATCTGGTTGTGTGCCACTTACGTACCCACTGCTGTCACCGTTCTTCATTTTACTGCAGACAAACCTATAAACAATTAAGACATCCATAGTTGTCACTGCTCTTGGTTAAAATCCCAACTTAAAAATCATGAAATTACTTCAATTCAATTTGAAAGTTATTTATGCCGAATTACTTTTATGATAGGCTGTAAAGAACATAAATAACTTCATCCTACAGATTACAGTTACCTAGTAAATTGGATCATTTAGTTGTAGACCCTAAAGTTGACATCGTATATATAATTACAAGCAGAGAACCCGTCCTTCGTACGGGGTTGGCATTATACTCAAGCTTTGCGTTTGCAATGGGGGAGGACACAGTTTGATAAAAGTTGCTTCTTTAAATTGACGGTATACTATAGTACTATACATCTACCATAGCCATAATGTTTCACCACTTCACCTAAACAATAGAGAAAAATAAATTATTAAAGTCTCGCAAATAACACAAATTATTCATGAAATTTTGGTGCATATTCGGAAAAAAAACAATCTTATTATGGGTGTATTCTATTAGTGACTCAACTCAACTACGTTAATTCACATATTCATTCAACATGGGAATAACATCTCTACTCTATTAACAGTCAAAGCTGGGTAAAAATAATATATTTAAAACGTATTGTTTAATAAAAATAATGACACTAACCCTTCTCTAGAGAGAGTCAGTAGGGAGCTTTTCAAGGGTGGAGGAACTCTAAGTTCGTCATCCTCCTCCCCTAAGCTCCTCCCTCCACACTCGGCACCGTTCCCAGGGGCTCTCTCGCACCTCTCCTCTTGCAAGTTGGGGTTTGAAGCTCCATCAGGATGTCTTAGGGATGAGATACTGCGAGTCCTAACGAGAATGAAATGGACAAGAAGGAATATTTTAACACCGTAAACATGTACAGTTGAATTTACCAATGGATATCTCTTGGCATTGTAAAAAAATAAGAATATTACATAACCAATTTTAAATGCTAGTGCTATAAAGTTAATACATATAAGAAATGTACACTTACACTTTCAAAATTCTTGTGTTTGTTTTGTAAGTACCTGTTATTTCATTTATGGGTGCCCAGATTGTATGAATATACGTTATTAATTTCTCATTAATGATTTTGCAAAAAAAATAGTAAACTAAACAACACAATGTTTTTAGTTTTTAAATGCTAAAATATTTATAAGTTAAATGTAAAAACACAGAATTGTGTACAATACTTGCTAAAAAATATTGTAAACCATATTGCACACCTAGTAATATGTAAGTATTTTCTTGTAAACGATGGGAAATGTACAATCTCTAAGCTAAAATATATGACCATATAAAAAAACAACCAATCTCAACGGTGAAAATTCACAAGATTACTGAATCATTCAATTACTTATTACAATGTATTTAGGGTCTTAATATGATAAAAGAAAAGACATATCGTATTTTATAGACTACCATATGCAGTGAACACTTGCAAATCTAAAGTATAGATAAACAAACTCAAAGAATTATCATTAACTTCTTTGGAATTTTGACATCAAGCCAATTAAAACTGAATATGAAAATAATAAAATATGTATGCTGCAATTATTTTTCCATTACGTGTTAAAATGTTAAAAGAAATAAAATGTTTGATAAAGTGAAGACTTACAGGTGGCTAAAGTGAGAGGTGTCGTACAGCATGCCGTTTGTCAAACTACCCTTGCAGTTGAAGCACACCTTTCCCGACTTTTTATCGTCCCCCTGAAACAGTTAAGGTGATAAACTCAACTTCTTACGTTTACTTGGGTGTAATAATATTATCTACACATAAAATGTATATTAAGCAGCTAGAATTGAAATGCAAATTTACTATTTGTGTTTAAACTTGTAGAAAAATGTATGATACAATTGGTAATGTTTAAGGAAAATATAAAAATTGTTTTGCAAAACAGATGAGTTGTAGTTAAAATGATTTTGCATAAGAGGATAAATAAAGTCAATTTTTTTCAAAAAAGGATTTTTTTTTTATAAATGGAAAATGGTTATGATAAGTGGAAATATTTCCAGGTAAGACAGATTTTCCATAACAATATTTCAAACCTAATATGGTTTCTTTTCTTGTTGCATACCTGGCTATTGCGCCTAAGCTCGACGGTTTTGACAAGTTCATCTCATATACACACAAAGACACAGATTATTTTCTCAGCATTCACCTTAAAAATAAAACTTAAGGTTGTAACCATTGGACATTGCCAAAACCAGTATTGCCTGTCAACGCTCCAGGAATATGAACATTTCATTTAATAAGAAATGTGGTCCAGAGGCTAAATAATTAAGAAAAAGAGCAAAATCATTAAGATTACCGGACAATAGGCAGGCTCGCTAACGATGCTGCTGGTGTCAAAGTCTCCTCCATTATGGAGATGGTGGTGATCCTGCGCCAACATGTCCGACAGAGATAGTGACTGACAACGAGAGAACAAACGTGTCTCAACATGCTGGGGCATACACAGGTCCTGCTGCTTGCGTGTCAGAACAGGTGTGCGGCAAGGGTCCTGGTCCATGGCTGAGAAAAAGTGTTTTGTTAAAAAACATGTTTAAGTATGGTACAAGAAGTAAAATGTTTAATTGTCTCCTTTTTGTCGTTACAAAACTGCTGTTCAAGTTGTATGGATGATGTTGTATCAAGAATACAATATATTAAAGGTTTTGTGTGCACTTAACTTCATGAATGAACAACAGACTTAAAATTAAGTATTGCACTATTTGGTTTGAAAAATCCAATGACATGAAATGAAATGAAATGAAATGAAATCAAATAATATTTTATTTCCCAACTGCATAATACAATTCGTGGTAATTACATAATAATTATACAATCCTTAACTTTAAAAAATAATTACAAAAGTATACTATATTTAAATGGCACAAAGGGGAAAAAAATACCTTATCAAATTATATGGAAAAGGTCTACATAGGCAGGGGCCTGTGCGTAGACATAAAAGTGTGTGACATTATTTTAAAGTGTTTCCTAATCATTTCAAACAGATTGAACGCCAATTATACATCAAATTGTTATCTCCATGAATAATTTGGCTGATTTCCGGATCTTACATCTGCTAAATTATTAGATAAGATTATTTTGAGGAAAAGGGAATTATCACAATTCAAAACATTCAACTAAGTATTAAGTTTTTAAAAGTTAAAAAACGATAAACTGAACATAACAATTAATATTATGCTACCTTTACCGTTGTGAATTTCCATGGACTGATTTTTCAGCCATGTTGTGTGATGGAAAAATCCTGGACCTCTAGGAAACAACCTTTCAAGGTCATTTGCAATCGAAAGGGAATCTGAAAAAAAGGGACACTAATTACAAAAGTTTCAAACATTTTATTGGCACAAAATGTGTACACATTGGCCTATCGCTGTTGTGCATTACCAACCATCACAAAATAAAATGGTAATCATATCCTGGAAATTTCATAGATGAAATAAAGTTAAGCTCGTATCATTGGGTGTTAATTAGCAGACAATCTTGCATGGATATTCCTTTTTTTTATTAGATAAAAACGGGATGCTTCAAAACTAAAATAATCGAGTATTTGTGCAGTATTTTAAAAACAATAGCCATACATCTTAGGTCAGATGGTAAAAAAATACCTGGATAAAATATTGGAAAATTTTAACTTCTTGTTGATCCACAAGCAGGATAAATTTCATATATTATAAGCCACAAATAAATAACAAATCAAATTATGTTATTAATTGTTATCCCAACAAACTGTCAACCCAAAGCCCACGTGTCACTCAAATGTTTATTGTTTTTATTGATAGTTGAGTTTCAAACTATATGTAGTTTTTTTAGCTTACCTGTGAAAGTTGACACAACTGTTAAATTCTCCTGACTCAAGATCCTCAGAGGATGTTCCTCTTGGTCGACCTCAGGCAGAGGATTCTCAGCCTCTCCCATACACAGTGCAATATCCTCCTCTGTTACCTGATATATACATGTACATTATAAGAATATCATTATAGTAATCTTTTTGAATAACTTAAAACAAACACTAAAAACTTTTTCAACAGGAAATAAATGTTTTATAAAGGGATTTTAATTCAAACTACTAATTTCCATAATGTGGGTTTTCCTAACAAAAACCCATTAAATATTACAATGTTGAAAGTATAAGAAACAGATAATTAAATCTCACAAAGATGTGTACAAAGTACAGAGAATAAAACTTTATTATTTGCTTTATAGTTTAAGTTTGAAAAATAAACTAACATAAAAAAATTAACACAAACACTGATTTATATTTAAACAAAAAATTAAAAAATTACAAATGCTATAATTTGATATTTTTTGCTTAAAAATTTCTGTAAAAAAAAACTGATTGTATTACCATTTAAAAACAACACCATAAATATGCCCAATAGACATGTATTCTCCTTTAAATATTACAAACAGGACGGGGGGGGGGAATCAATTATTATCATAGGTCCTAACTAAAACATATCTATCTCGCATTTTAATATGCAAGGGCATCAAGATACATAGAATTATTGTACTGGCGGACAAGTAAGTTTTTACTTTAGCCACAAAACAATTTTGCTAATAAATTAAGTTACTACATTTCAGTTTACCTGAAGGCATGAATCTTGCATTGCAACTAGTTGAGCTGGCTCCTCCATCTCTATGATTTCAACTTCAATTTGTTCATCCTCTTCCTCCTCCTCATAATTCGTTCCTTGCAGCCTCTCGATTGGAACAACTAAAATATAAATTAAAATTAAAATTAATAAATTAAATTAATGAATTATATTTATTTTTTATTTGCACTATCAATTTATTGGAGAAAAAGATTTAATCATGATAATAAACAGAAAGGTTTACCTACCAGCTTTACCTGCTAACTTGCAGAGAATTTAAAATTTACTTTTTGTTGATTTAATCTATTACTTGGCCTTTTTTATGTCCCACCTTAATCTGCTAGGATGCTAAGCTTATGCCAGGAACACATTTACTTCAAGCTAGATCTAGAGGGTCACGGAATTATCCCATACATAAAGACCATTGGTAGGGTTTGAACCCAGGACCTCAGGGATCAAAGTCCCACATTTTACCACTAGACTAGCTGGCTTCCCATTTGGTCATCAATTCAAAGAAACTAAAAATGGTAATATAGAGCACATAAAGTGTATCTACCGAACGAAAGAAATGTATAACAAACTATCTTAATTACCTCTGCCGATTTCTCCATTCCTTGCAGCAATGGAGGTTTGATGTAAAGCAGGAACAACTTCTTCTTGATCCTCCTCATCTTCTTGTCCACTAGCCTGACCTCTGACTCCACAAGTGCCGTCACTAGAGTCCCTACCTTCATCCGAACAGGTCTTGAAGTTGGCCAGATACCTTCTAGGCGGTGTCTTATCCCTCGCCATTGACTTATGTTTCTGCAACTGCACAGCCTGGTTCTCAACCCACTTTCTGATCATACTTTTCTTGTGATAGTCCATGAAGCCGTAGCTCAAACCGTTTTCTGCATTCAACGGACCATCCACCCACATTTCTTTCTTTGCGAGTTTATGCGGTCCATCTTTTTGCATCATGTGGAGGTTCCTCGCTTCAACTACTTTAGATTTAGCTATTCTGGGACCATCGACCCATCTTTCTTCTGGAGTATGTGTTCCATTCAATTTCGGAGTCTTTACTTCCTTGGCTTTACTAACAGACCGTGAAGGTGATGACTTCGAACTCGCAAGTCCTGATTTTCCCAGTTTTCCCACCCTGTGAGGAGAAGATCTATCTTCGTGAGAGCCGTTCACTTGTGACAGTTCTTGACACATTCGCTGAGGGGATGCTGGAACTGATCTTGATATGTTGGGTCTGATTCCTCTCTCGTGGCCTTTAGGCTCCACACCGCTTCCCCTCAGAGCCTTCCCCATAGCACAGCGGTTGTCTTCGGAGTTGAGGCTTGGCAGGTACACAGGTGGATGTTCTCCGTCGGTTTCATCTGAAGGACCAACATATATCACAGTATCCGCTGACTGTTCGCTGCTTGAAGGATCCACTTCGCTACTTGTAGTACCTCGGTTCACATCCTCGCCAGCAACCATGCCGGAATTTCCTCCGGTGAACTAAAAAAAAGTTATGCATGAATGTTTGTTTCAGTTTAAAATATTACAAACCTATAATATTTATTGGTTTAATATTTATAGGTATATAATATTATCAAAAATGTTTTTGTCGCCATTACGATGCCTACCTTGATTCTTCTCCTTCGTATCCTGTGCACCCTGGAGGCCAGTTGGACAGTTCCCAGGGTGTCAGAGTAGTTCTGGGCGGATGGTGATACGTGAGCTATCATCCCTACGTGACATGTAAGGGATGACAGACACTCCTTCAACACTTGAGTCAGTTTGTGTTCTCTGCAAACAAGGAATAATATTAGCATGAACTATTAACAGAAAATGGCAAATATTTGAATGGCAATTAATCCATATACAAGGTTGCACAAATTCTTGTAACCATGCACACGGGGAATTCAGGAAAATTAAACAAAAAGACAGTAATAACAAGTAAGAACAAGCAAGGTTGTGTCTGTAAGTATACCGGTTTTCATAACAATAGTGGCCACTCTCAAAATAAATTAAAAATATATTTTTTGCGATGTTCCCGAATAATACTGTATGTTTTATAAACTTTTTTGAATATTAAATTCTTACTATAGTAGTCGTGCAGTGGTCAAAAACTCAACCAAACATATGTAATGTACAGGCTTCTCTAAATTTCACTCCAGGCTGTAAATAAAACATGTGATTGTAATTTCTTTCATTTGTTTTGATTTTCTGTTTATATTTTGTTGTTATTTCCTCACTAGCATGGCAACCCACAAGGCCCATGTTATTTTTTTTATTTCAAATTCATTTTTGTGCTTATTTTTTTGCCTATTTGAATTTATAAATTGATTCTGCACATGTACAGAAAAATATCTTTCTAACAGGATGCGTAGATTTTCCTTGCGATTCACACAAGCTGAGAAAAAAGGATTTAAAGAAAAATACTTGCCTAATAATATATAGATTGCAAAAATTAATAAAATATTTACTTAAAAAACTGAGTATTCAGAGGGCAAAAATAACACTTAAACTGTAAAATAAAGAAATTCATTCCATATTCTTAACATGGATAAGGTGCCAATGACTGAACATGCCAAAAAAATTTTAAAAATATATAATGTTCCTTGGAACATACACCACAACGATTCTAACATCTTACATACCATACATAATATCCAAGAATGTAAATAATCTTAATACTTATTGAATTCAGACTTATCATACAACAGTTTTTTTAATGATTTATAATGACTAATAGGCTATATTAAACTACGCAAAAGGTTTTTTTACAAAACGCCAATAGAATAAAATACAAAGATAGGTACTCAACAAGCTATTTACCCAAACTTAATTCAACGCTTAAAACAATATCTGAGGTTACAGAGCATCGCAGATCGAAACAAGAAAGCCTACCACAGAGTAGTTTCAATAGGACATATTGGTTGCTTGATTCCGTGGCTCCCCTTATAGTTTACTGTGTTATAAAAAGCCTTAACAACTTCTGTTGAAAATACGATGGGTGGCGCCACAGTCTCACTCACAGACAAAGATAGACATACACACTCGCACACAAACACACCAATACACGTCATAATGTGGATGGTTAGCCACCGTTACAGGCCTTTGGTCGAAGTTAACCCTAATGGGCTACCGTTAGAGCCACAATGGATCTCATATATTGGGATCTTTCAACCAAACATATTATTTTATATGTGTTGTTCTTCAGATATAAGTCTGTAATTTCTTACGCGATTTTATTTCATTTGTTCAGAAAAATTACATTAGGTAATGCAATTATTTGTTCTTTACACATTGGTTTTTAAATTGTAAGAATTCTTACCTTTGTTACACTTTTAGGTATTTACAGTATATCTAATTTATTATTTTAACAGTAATAAAACTACTGCTTTAAAAATATATTCATCTTTGATTCCATTATTTATACTTGTAATACGTGTATTTGTGAATGGTAATAGTTATATAAGTATATTTTCTTTTATGATTTTTTTTATATTTATGTAACAGTGTAAGATGTTGAAATAAACTCTAATGATGTTTTTGGTGATTTTAATTTTATAAATATCTTTAGGTCGTATTTTGGAACTAAATAATAGCTTTTTTTACCTCAATAGTAGCTTTTTTACAAGAAAACTTTGTTGTATCACAGTGTTTAATTATGCGTGGACTATATTAGATTATAACACTAATTTGAAAGGAAAATATATGATGTTAATATATTAAATTAATGTTTTTAAAACACGTAGATATTTATAAAAATGTTTTACTTCAAATTTGGGGTGTTTCTATTCTTGTCTACAAAAAAGTGTTTTAATAATAATTAAAAATTTATTAATTAAATATGAGCGTCATTGAAGAAGGAGATACCAAGTTCGTCACTAATGTTTTGGGAGTTCAATGGAACTATATTGAGGACGTTCTGTTTTTTAACCTCACGAACTGTATTAAAGATTTGGACGTGTCTCGAATCACAAAGAGAGACATTTTATCCATATCTCACAATATCTTTGATCCAATTGGTATCCTTTGCCCTGTTACTTTGTTTCCTAAACTTCTTCTGCAAAGTATGTGGGACTTGAAAATTGACTGGGACACTGAAGTAAGTTCAGACATCAGTAAACTATTCATACTGTGGTATAATGAGCTAAGCGCTCTTGGAAAAGTGAAAATACCCCGATGGATAGGTAAAATGACTATGGATTCAAATGGTTGTAGTATTCATACATTTTGCGACACAAGTATAAGATGCCTATGCTACAGTTATTTACTTGAGAGTTGAAATTGAAGATGAAGTAAGAGTCCAATTATTGTCGGCAAAATCAAGAGTAGCTCCTCTGAAGAAAACCACGATTCCAAGGTTGGAATTATCAACCGCCACGGTGGGAGCACGTCTCACAAGCTGGACGAAAAATCAAAGTTCCAAAAAGGTTCATGTTTGAGTAGTAATACTACTCGGTGGGAGGATGTTATATCTCCTAGTCTGTATATATGATGAATATTAACTTTGATTTAATTTATTTGTCATATGGTTTGGTTTTGTTTTGTTTTGTCACGGAATTTCTACATATATGAGGGTTGCACCATTTTGTTTAGAATTATAAGGTCTGTAACATTCTAAATTTTGAATAAAAGTCGAGCCGTTTCTTTATCAGATTTATTTTTTTTTAAATATATTATATTTTACCAGCTATCTTGATATATGTCTAGGACTTCTTATTGAATTAAATTTTCTCTAGTTTTTATATTTTTAAAATCATTCAACATACATAATATGTATTAAATATTTTAATTAGCATACATAAAACAGGTGTAATCATTTAACAAATGGTTAAATATACTAACCCCTAAAATATATGCAATTTTACTAAGTAACTAACCTGTGGGGCAGATGTTTCTGGCCATTGAAAATGCCGAGAAGAACATTGCCGATCCCTCCAAGACTGAGCCCACCAGTTAGCTTGCTTCGTTCACAGCTGCCCAGGTCAATCAGGTGTAGCCGGCTGCGGCCACCAGCAACTGAGGACAATGGGAACAATGAAAACACAAGAATAAGAACAATGGGGACAGTGGAAACACAGCAATGGAACCCAACACAAAAATAGAAACAATGGAAACAAAACTACTAAATGTGACAATTACAATGAAAGTAATAAAGAAAACAATAAAATCTAAGTAAGATAAAACTACTATGTTATTACCTAACTTTTGGAACAGAGATAATTGAAATCATTTGGGAAAACAGTAATACAATTATAGTATTAATGGTAATTTTGGAATATAATAATAAATGTATATAGGTATAAATAGTTTTATACCTTAATATCACAAAGTCTAATCTTACTAATATTATAAATCTGAAAGTTTGTGAGTTTGTGTGTATGTTTGTGTGTGTGTTGCTCAATCACGCATAAACTACTGGACGGATTGGGCTGAAATTTGGCATACTGATAGTTCACATTCCCGAATAACATTAAAGCATATTCTTATCTCAAAAACCCTTTCGGGCTCCGCCCCAGTGGCTCTGTAGTTCCCCACGTTAATCTTATGATTTTTCATATTTAAAAGGAATTAATGAATCTTAACAGCTGTCTCAATTAAACAAGTTGGTTCTGTTCTATGATGTTCAACAGCATAAAAGTTACAAGGATTACCAACAGGGTGCAGCACTATTAATTTCTTTTTTTATTTATGACAACAGCTAATTTCCAACCAAAAGGTGAGTGAGCGTAGCGAACGAACTTCAACCTTGAGGCGAGTTAGCGTAGCAAACGAGCTAACCTGAAGGCAAGTGAGCGCAGCGAACGAGCTCCAACCTAAAGGTGAGTGAGCGTAGCGAACGAACTTCAACCAGGACTTGAATGAGCCATGCGAATACTTATGAAGTTAAACAGGGCAAAGCCCGCGGGTACAGCTAGTGAGTTATAAAACATAAATATTTTCTCAAAATATATTTTATTGGGTTAGCAGTGTTGAGGTTACACAGTACTTGATTATAAAGCAATTAAATGCAAAATGAACATTGTTATCAAAAAACATAACAATGGTAAAGTACTGTTCTCCTTCACTAATGCATTATTGGGAATCCAAATGAGTATCCTGGCTAGAAAAAATAAACAGTTGATTTTCTTCATACTACTTATACTCTTAGTTAGGCTACAAATTTGTTGTATATGGTGAACTTAGGTTGTAAGATCACAATAAGCAAGTTCCGAGCCCAACAAATCAGGACGTACCAGCGCCCTTGGTGGCGACGCTGTACTGGTAGATGTGTAGGGTGTACAGGAAGTGTGTCTGGGGCGCCCGGGCGGCCAGGGCGCTGTCCAGGTAGAAGGCGGCCTTCTCTGCAGTGGGCGCCCTCAGCTCGCTGTAGTTCTGCAGCTGCAGAGGATCGTCTCGGAGATACACACCGGGCGACTGCTCACACTCTGTGGGGCATAGCGGGGATGAATGTGTGGTTGGGGTAGTCGCAGTTTAATTTTTTTTAACTCTAAGTTCAAGATATAAACGGTATTAGCAATCAGAACCATGTGTACTTTCTACCATTAGCTTGTCAACAGTCCTAAGCGGTGGGGTGGGAGTTAGTAACTTGATAATTTATGGGGGAAATCAAAAGCTGCAATAACTTATGAACCGGAATTTCTACATATATGAGGGTTGCACCATTTTGTTTAGAATTATAAGGTCTGTAACATTCTAAATTTTGAATAAAAGTCGAGCCGTTTCTTTATCAGATTTATTTTTTTTTAGTTATATACGATAAAAAATGCAATAAATACCTGAAGATACCACAGATTGGTACAAATATACTAAATTTCATAAAATCCGGACCGCAGGTGTGGTATGTAGCTCTGTACACATCCACACACCAGGCAAACATGACTTCAAAACCCACATTTTTGGGTTTAGGGGGACCCAAAAAACAGAAATCCATTCAAAACCCAAACTAGAAAATTTTGAAGAAAACAATACTTTCTTCAAATACTTTAAATATTGGGAATAAGTAAAAATTACATTCAAAATAACAATACTTAAATTACAAAATGTTTTGCTCCTAACTTATAAAATGTAATAACCTAAACTAGGCAACCCATAGATGTGTATTATCAGGTGTTTTAAAATTCGTAACAAAATTATCATTCCTTAGTAAGCTTAGTTAGGTTCAAGCAGTTAAATATCCCAAAATAAAATTATAACTATTACTTATTTAAAACAATTTCTGTTTTAAATTACCAACTCACCATTAGCATGTCCCACCAGCAGGTCTTTCAGCTGTTGGGAGATCTCCACAGCTGATACTCTAACAGAGAACCTGGCACCTGTCTTCTGTTTCTGTTCAGCAATGCCACGGAACAACCACGAGATGGAGCTGGGGATGATCCCTAGACTAGAGGCGGAGTCTGGGGTGCCGAGCATCGTCTGGGTCTTACCTGGAGAAGGGGTGGAGATGAATAAAGAACTGAGCAGAACTGACATTGGAAGGATACAAAGTAGTAAGAATGTTTTGTATCTGGACCTTTTGAAGACAGTTCCTTAAGAATTATTGGCTGGTAAGGTGGTCTCATAGTACTTTTTCATCGTTGAGTTAAATTCCATAGCATGGCACTAATAATTGTATCATTTTGTTGCTGTAGCATCATAAATTTTTGTCTCAATACGAAATGCACTATTCGTTTATATGTTATTATTTTTATTGGGAAAACAACAGATGGTGCTAAAATAGTGAGGGAATCAAACAACATCAAAGAGCATAGTACACAACAGATGGAATAATTATCACACAAAAAAGCAGAATGAACAAGGTTGGCAATTAGCATATTGTATATACATTCGTAACTTCGTATAGGAGTGTATTTAATTTAACTAAATAGACGTACAAAAATTTAAATTTGTATCGAAAGCCTTTACTTGAAACTATAATTAAATTTATGACTATTGGATTTTTCTTATTACCATCAAAGTGTATAAAAGCTATCAATAAAAACTAAAAAAATATAATATTGAAAATATCAAATTTGTTCATAAGTCATTTATTACACTTTCATGAATATCAAAACTCGCAAATAAAGATAGACTTAAGCGGGCTAATTGTAAGAAAAACATTTATTACCAAGTTTAGCGTGTCCAAAACAGAAGAGGCAGCCGTCAGAACCATTTATAACTGCATGAATGATGTCAGTCAGTGCGGATGAGCACACTTCCGCCTGGAAAAGAAAAAGAATTAAGACAAATAATTAATATGATAAGTGTTGATTATAGTTTTTTATGGTTTTAACCTGATAATGGTAATGATATGTTTCATAACTAAGGTCATAAGTTGTTTAAGTTGTCATAAGTTGGGGCGCGCTTCAATTTGATGTGTGAGGTCGTGCGAAACACAGGCATAAAGTTTGGAAATCGCAGTTAATCCGAACACGAGTAAGCTATGGAGCAAGTACCGGAAATAGGGTTTAGTAAAATAAGAACAACCATTCAAATCATGATGCAAAAATTGGGATATATCCATTTATGTCTACTTTAAAACTTTTACGAAAATTTTTATAATTTTAACTAAAAGATACATTAAAATTTTGTAATAGCGCATGAGTGAAATTGGTAAATTAGGCTTGAAAAGGTGATTCGAGCACAAGGACATTAAATCAACTACTATTGGGTGATTGTAGAAAGTAAGCCTATAAAATGGAAGTTATTGAAGGTTGAGAGAAATCGTCTTATTACTTTAATTTGTAAAGAGGCGAAATTGTTTTCGACAAAATATTTTTTTCCGTTGAAGTGCTGTTTTACAATGTTCACAATGGAACAGTGAAAGGCTTTCGTCAAACTAAATATTTACTAAACAAAAATAGGTAAATAGGTCACTGACAACTAAAGCCTAAGTCAAGAATGGAAGCAAAAGCCTACTTGTGTTGGGGGGTTGGGTGGTGAGATGTTCTGACCCCATCTAATAAATACTGGAGTCGACATTACCGGGCTATTTACCCACCCTGAGGCCACCAACAGTAAATCAACTCTCCAGAAACAATGGCAACTTTCTTTGACTACGGAGCTTAAGTTGTTAATTTACTGCCGTCTTTATCTTACAGCGATGTAATAGTTGGAGCATTCCGTAGTTAGGAGAATAAAACTTGCGTTTGTAGCAAGGGTTACTTGTGTAATTTACCATTCTACTTTCTGGTAGTGTTTTATGTAGTGGCAAACAATCAATTAAATTTGTTACATATGAGATAATAAAATCTAAATACGATATTTTACTTAAAATGTACATTTTGTATTAATATGAGGGTAAAAATATGTGTGTAGCTTGTTTCTTGCATATAAAAAATCAATAACAAAGTCATATTTGATTTTGTTTACCTTACGCTTTAATTTATCTTGGATGCAATACACAGAAATGTCGGTTTTGTAATATATATTTTTGAGTAAAAAATAAAATGCTGATCACAACCGATTTGAGTCAAGCAATGGTATATTTAGACATAATCCGTAGCTATCTTACTTTGTTTTCGACTAAATTAAAATAAAATAATAACATTAATTATTAAATAAGACAATATTAAAAATCCTTGTATACGTAGACAGGTTTTTTTTCAAAGATGAGCAACAAATTCAGTCACTAAACCATTTCCTTAGTTACTCTACATAACTGTACACAAAAGTAAATTAACAAACCAAACTATAATAATAATTTATTAATTGAAAAAAACTAATCATTACTAATTTACATAAGAGAACACAAAGACAAAGAATAGTTATACAATTCTTAATTCTAAAACAAGAAAATATCATTTGTGATCGCAAGGAAATTAATATTTTAAATACTTTTAACTGAAATGGTGACCATACTTAGGTAGAAATTTTAAACCAAGTATAGTCTTGTTACTGACTAAATCCAACATGGTCCTTAGACAGGACTGTTAATAGCCCATACAGTCAAAGGCAACTAAGGGACCTACAGTTTATAGTGGAATCCGAACAAAATTATTTCCTTGTAATTTATGAATTGGTAAAATTATCAGGATAGTATTGCGGATAGTCGTAGTACTCACTCGTGCGGACGTTCGTCCACACCAAGGGTTAGGCCCTATCGCATCCACTGATCATGTCTATAAATATACACAATCCTATAAATATCCACAATCCTATAAATATCCTAATTAACTTAATTTAAAAAAGGAAAAAATACCACAATGCCTTTGGATACAAAAATACAATTCACAAAAACTTTAGAACCATTCTTATAGTGAGACATTCTCCTGATTTCGAATAATTTGAAATAAGGCCCCAGTAGCCCCAAACTCATCAATAATCACCTGCGAATCTTCATGAGTGAAGATGGAGTCGAAGGCGAACATTTTGGGCGCCGCAACGCCGACCCTGCGGTCTTCTGGCGCAGAAGGACCTCCACACAGCGCAGGGTCAAACAGTGTGATCTGCTTGCGACGCTTGTCCACGCTGAAGAAGGAGGAAGAGTCTTCGACGGAGCTCTGGGCGTCACCAGCCACCCGCAGCATCACCTTCACCTGCACACAGAGTTGCCTTAGTTCTTGCTGTCAAGATCCCATAGAAAGAGTATTTAACAATTGAGTTGGATCACAATCTAAGAAATATGAATGTACATGAAAAAGAAAGCCCTACGTAGCTGTTGGAATTGTACGGTCAAAGTTAATAGAGTGGGTGCAAAAATCTGTGAAGCCGTTGGACAAGAAAGGACAGGATAGACGTTGAGAGAAGTGGAGAAAATATCCACAACCACCAACGTTGAAGGGGAATCGCCATATGCTCTTAGATTTGAAAACATTATACATACGATGTCAACTAGGAATTGTAATATTGTTTTATATTTTATCAAATTACTCTATAGACTGAAATGTATTTATATAAACAAAATTTTATTTCTGAACAACAAAAGATATTTCAGTTAGAAAATTGACAATTTCATCCTTAAACCATAAACACTTTTAGTACAACGAAGCATTGATATTTCTCAAAGTACCTGCACAAACTAATTAATTGACCTAACAATATGGTCAGATATGTTTTTTTATTACGAAAAACTCTTTTTGTGTTTTAGTTTCATTTTTTTCTGCTTTGTGGTTTTCTACACTAATAATAATGTTCACGGTTTTTAGGGAACAGTACTAATCCTGGTGTTCTTACTGTGTAACGTTGACCTTTTGGTAGCATAATTAGTTTATAGCCCTATGCCATTTAGGTTCAGAGTTGATGTAATTAAACCAGCGACCTCCAAATGTAAATCTTTTACATCATAAATTAAGCAAGAGTAACTACTTCACGGTTTGTCGTGTCCAGGATTAGTGAGTTATGGCGAGCGCCTGAAGGTTCACTGGATAGGCAATATGAGTACTGTAGTAAGGTTGCCTATCAGCGCCTAGTGTTCGCTTTAAAATATATTATAATAGGGTCTAATAATACACAAAAACAAAATCGCCGATTTAAGTTTTATGTTTAGAGTGGTTAATAGCCTGCGGTATCAAGATATCTGAGTAGGTTTATGGTAAGTTAACAATATTAACTTCAATTGGTTAAGTTAAAAAAAAAACATAGCCTACTCGTGTAAAAAATTTAAATACAAATACTGTAGAATAAATTGGAGATCTTGCTATTTGGTAAATTTATTTATTTGAATAAATTGGTGTATAGAGTATTTCCAGTTTTTAAATTATAAATAAATCATTCACATTAAGAAGAGCTACATTTAATAGAAAGATATTAAAATTACTATTAGTGTAATACAGTATGTTTAATACTATTAGATTTAATAAATATCTGCAACGAAGTAGTAACCTTAAAAGAAATCATGTATATTCTGCTATTCTAATATTCTTGGAAAAATTGAAATGTATATGTTGCTAATGCCCGTTGCGTATGACCGTAAATATTTTTCCCAGAAATTAAAAACACTATTAACAGATTCTGCGAACCCAGAGATAAAAACATGCCATATCTAGCATACTTTAACATATGTATGCAATAACAATTCGGTATTAAAAACAATAGGGGTTTTTAAGCAGAACTGCATAGGGAAAAAGCTTACTCAAATAAGACCTCTTGGTTGTTTCAATGCTTCATGACCTTATTATCACTTATTTATTTTTACGATAAATTTGGCTTGACGAAACCTAAAGACTTTTTAGCAAGTAGTGAGAAATATAATTAAAATAATACTGCAAATTGTCATAAAACTCTAACTCTACCAATTAGAATCCAATTTTCTACCAAAACGTTTAATTTAATGGTATAAAGAAGACTATAATATTCTTCATAAAAATGTAAAGGAAGATAGTGACATTACTTCGGTCAATTTTGCAAATATATAAAATATATCTTAAACACTTATACGGTTTAAATAAATTGTGTGAAATCGGTTGCAATAACAGATACACTATGCAAATACAAGAGCAAAGTTTTATGTTAAATCAGGTATAGAATCAACTCCATAAATTACCAAGCTATTTTTAAAACATCTATCCAAGCGAGCAAGCAATAGAGAAACTCTATGTATACTAATTGAAAACAGTTCCGAAATAATAGGAAAACAACATCCGAAGGAATAAAAAAAATTTGTGGACATCAACTATCGATATTACTATACTTCGTTCACAAGAACGGGTTTAAGGGAAGAATCTATCTCCTCCACTTGACCCTTTACTTTAAAAATGTTAGTTCCACATTTGATTAAGAAAAGTAATACAAAATACGAAAAAATGGCAAGGGAACTTCCCCTCAAACCGCCTAAACATTGTGAACAGAGTATAGTTGTACATAATAGTAAAATATTTCACAAGTAGCTTTTAATGTTTTTTTTTTTTTATTCTATGAAATCGGTAACAATACAATAAATGTTTTATTTGATTCTCCCAGGTAAATAAAGAGTCGTTACCCGCCACCGACACTGGAGCAGATCGATTCGCAGCCTCTCACTACAAATCTATTATTCAGCGAGAAAACACTCGTAATAATTGAAAAGGAACCTGCAAGTGATCCGCCAAGCTACTTCCAGCTGTTGGATTACAGCACAATGGCGCGAACTAACGGGGGAGCCAAGTGATTATTTGTGTCTTTGTAACAGATTTACAATGCACTTGGACGACTTTGTTCAATATCTTGACAGAAATTAGTTAGATTTAACAAATATCATTTAGGAGAAAATGTAATTTAGCTATTTTTCCTACTGAATATGCTTACACGAGTCAATATGTAATTTTGTGTTAGGTTTGAGTCATGTAGATGTTTAGCATAGCCTAATAATACCTTAGGTTATGATACCAGAAGATTAGAAATTGTTTTTGCAAACACTATTTATCTGTAGGTAAAACTACAAGTAATATTAGTACAGGTAAAATAAGGTTTTATAAACAACAAAATTTGTACATTCGTGAAATTTCACCTGTGAGATATTAATAATATGAGGGACGAAGATCCGATGAGCCCCCAAAAATTTGGGCGTCAAAAGCCCGTTTTAGGGCCCTTATTTCTTCGGGAGGGGGGCAATTCCTAAATAATTTTGTTTTTACGTTTGAGGTCAAGTGAGGTGTGGTTTCGATGGTTTTAATTATTTTAAAACGATTGGGGCTAATTTTAGGTGTATTAAACCACTCCACACAGGGTGTTCAACAACTATTATTACTTTTTTAAGATCTCTAAACATTTATTCATAAAATAATAAAATTAGGTACCTTAACGATCTCCTTAAATATCTAGGTGCTTATACCAGTCAGAATCAATACATAAACTGTTTTTGGGTTAACCAATAATATGATCAATATATTAAAAGATAAGTTTAAAAGGTATTACCTTAGACTTTTGATACTAAAATACACACCTAACCTACAATGACTAACTGATTACTGTTTTTTTTTTCAAAGACATCAAAGTCGAAGCTATAGTTGATAAAGTTTACCATATTTTAGTACAAAATGTCTTCTCCTTTATGTTTTTCATTCTATCTACAAATAAATAGTTATGTCAAATTATAATCCAATAGTATATATTCTAGCCTATACCCCATTCTAAATGAAGATCGAAAATATTTCCATACATCTCAATTGATCAAATAACTAAGAAACAGTATTTTTTCTGCAATCGAAAATTATTTCATTATCAATGCATATGCACACAAACTTGGTGATTGTACCAGTATGTTATTGTTCGATGTATGACGAAGCCTCCCCAGTGGTATTGTGGGCTTCAACCCCATAACTCTACGCCAATGGATTAAGTCTTCCGCGAAATATTCGGTTGTTATTGAAAATCAAGACAGCAGAAGCAATAATAATAATACGGCCCTGGGCAATCCCCCCTCTCAAACTCCCAACCCTACACATTGAGGCTACCGTAACCTGATTGTGGACCTAACTCTGAAGTAGTTATCACTCAATCTTTTGTAGGAAAAGGTTATCCTTCCATTCCCACTCCTGTACTTCATGTGCTTGTTTTTTACATTATTTAAAGGGACATGGATTGACGTCAATTTGATAGTGACATTAAGGGACTTGAAGAGTTTTCTTAGAAAGGAGTTGATGGTATATACAAGTATAAGAATGTAGTTTTTGAATTATTTCATGTTTTTTGTTGGATTAAGAATCCGACTTCTTAAGGTGGTATCTTATTTGGAAGCAGTATCATCATGTTATTCATCGGTAGATGAAAGTAGTTTAAGAGAAACCTAAGACAAAGACTCTTAACTTCTTAAGAAGAAAAGACACAGTAGACTATAAAGAGACTGTGATAGTGTTAAACCTAATCAATTTCTCCATAAGATTGCTTAGATATTAACAAAACCATACAGAAACAAGTTAGTGCACTTGTGTATCGTATAACTAGGGCTCTGCCCCAGGCTTTCAAAATTTGTTCGACTTTTAGAAAGAAATACTATGCATTGAAGAACAGAAAATTTAAAATTTGCGTTGTCGATGTTTGTCAAAATGGTGAATAGAGTACATTCATTTATCTCTCGAAGATGTCATTGTGAAAGGTTCAATATTGTACCTAGTCAACATATATATAAAGCTTCTAGTTACACTACAAACAATGGATGATACGTTCAAACGTACAATACCCCTCTGCAGGTAAAACCAAGTAATAAAAAAATAAGGAAAGAACAAATAATCTTTTTTTGTATTGTTTATGAATTTAAATATTTTATGTTCGGTTGTTTCATTCAACTGTGATAATACTGATGCAAAATCTTCTGACAACAATGTAAATAAGCAAAACACCGTCATACAATTTTATCCACAGAGACAGTTAATTGTCCATAATATTACATAATATTAGACAAAGCATGTGTATATGTAGCATAAGGTTGTCTACAAATTCATTTTCCTGGAAACATAAAACAATAAGAGAAAATAGCATACACTCAAAGCGCTTCTACTTAGCCAGTGACAATAATTGTGACAAACATGCAAATAACAACGCACGACAACTGTATTAATATCTTTAGACCGAGTTATATTCCAATATTACACCGGACAAAGCAGGTTTATCAAAGCAAACGGTTTGCTGTAAATTCTCTTTCCTGGAAACGCCTTACACTAAGAGGAATAAAATGAAATAACGTGAGTGTTCCACTGTGATAATAATTATGACAAAACAGCAATGCGAATACCCCACAAAGGTCCATTTTAATCCCGAGAGTTATATTTGATCATAACGCTAGACCAAGCAGGTGCATACGGTTTGCTGCGAGTTCACTTTGATCTTGAAATATCCCAGTAAACAGTGCACAGTTGACACTGTAATTTACACTCCACGCTTTGTACACGTAACAGATGGCGCTGAGTGTGTGTGTGTGTGTGTGTGTGTGTGTGTGTACCATATCTCACCGTGAGTCTTGCTTGGTTTGTTTTGTATTTTTGTAATAAAAACTTATAACTACCGTTTTTGTTTTTTTAAAGCTATAAGGGAAGTAGTTAAATTTTTTAAATAAGTTTGACAAGATGAATTGGGCATTTAAGAGTAAAACGACTGAACTGTATATTTTTCCAAGTTACCAAATCTATGACTCGATTATTTTAGATTATGTTTGTTTTGTTATTCAAATTTGGGTTTTAATTTGTCTGGTTGAATACGAAATTACAGTTATGTATATGGCTCCCTTAAATATTTATGAGGTATAAGATTGACATTTAAGATTAGTTTTAGTAAAACTCGTATGTGACTTTAAAACATATCCATACTTTACAGAGGATACATAATAACGAGGTAATTACGATCAGGTTCAATGAGGTTCAAGGATTGAGAGAGAAGTAAAATTGTAATGATTCTAACTTCAATTAATCTGCTGTTCAGGCCAATTTAATTGTTGAGTGGTGCAATTAGTTTGGTACAATGTTTCGTTGCATCGATCACTGTCAGTGGCAATAAGAGGTTATAAACTAAAAGATAACCTCTCTTAGAAGTTATGAGTACTGTAGTGACTTTTAGTAATTAAAAATGGTCGTAGATAAAGTAGGGAACACAACTCCCGTAAATATTTTTAACTACACTCGTAGACGTTTTTTAGGCACTCGCGATGGCTCGTACCTTAAATTTTCAACTCGTGTCGTTAACACCTTTTTATATACAGCTAATTTGTATTCGCTTTCCCATTACGAATAAACAAATTACTCTTTTGGTGGTTTTATATTAACTACTCTTCAACAGTATCGCTGTTCACAAGTAGATTTAAACTCGCCAGTTTTAAAATAGAAGCCACTTTATCCTGTGTAGTTGACGGGGTAGTAGTAATTAGTCTCGGTAACGAGGAGGAGGGGGAATTAGTGGGGGGGGGGAGACTAAACACATGACAAGTCTCATAGACTAAACTAGGATTGGGTATTCTTCATCATATGAGTAAGGTATTCTTGATTTATAAACATTTTCTTAGTCCCTAAGTCTCTTTTTCTATGTAATATACAGCTGGGATCTGCTTAAAAACATAGTTCTACGCTGTTATCCAACGTACTTTCTTTAGAAAACAATACTACTTTTTTTTAATTTTCCCTTTTTAAATTTATATGTTGTGTTCCACGATATTTCTTCAAGTTCCCAGTTATCTTACAGGTTAGATCCTACTTTAAGACAGGATTAAGTTCCGGAATCCCAAACATCATCGCACTTGTGTTTCAATAATCATCAGAGATGATAAAGTCCCCAGTGACTCTATCTAAAGTTCCACTAAACCAAAAACTGTTTAAACGCCAAAATGACCGGTATAAAACAGCGATTGGGAAGATTTCATCCCTCCTGCAGAACGATCATTGCCCGACAGTGAATTCTTATTTCTTCCAAACAGCCATTCGATCAGGCTTTTGTATTCGGCAGAGGGTTCCCCCAAATCACACCCGTCAAGAGATACTTTAAATCCCGGCATCATTCTCCCCTCCCCCCCACCACCACTACGGGCAAATAAACCCACATCCGATTAGGATATGTGATGGCCCAACTGTTTTGGATTAACCGGGAAAAGGTTTTCTACAAACAATCTAGGGACACTTGAAGAGTTTCAACCAAACTTGGTAGTGTGTTTATAAAAAAATTTGTTGGAATTAATCCGAAGTAGTATCAGTACTTGCAGAGGATGTGGAATATTTACGGTCACATTAGCAAACCATTAGGTCTTTACATAAGTCCAAATTTAAGTAGAATGTTTGATGTTAAACAGTTAGTGGCTAGCTGTTACTGAAATATTTTACAAGTTAAACATTTAGTTATTAGTCGATAATATATAATATTTTTAGGATATTAGTTAAGTGTATCGCTTATTGTACCATCGACTTGATATACTATACTCATAATAAGCTGTCAACTACATTCGTGGATTCATAATCAATACTTACAGTGCGAATATGACTGTGTAATTGTGTGAGCTTAACAAATCATGTTCATAAACACTTTTAACCTAATTTTAATACAATTGACGAAGTTAAACGAACATGAAAGGCCAAAAGGTGGATACATCACCTTTACGTCCTAAACGTCCTCGTACTAAGAAATTGACAGTTTAAGTTTATAGTAGGTAGTACATCCAATAATATCTTCCTTTTATCTGCTTCACATAACATAATATTGCATTGTAAATCAATCAATGGTTTCTACTGTTAATTCATTTACTCCACACTACACTATTTTGACGAACTTCCCACACAAGGATTTAGTCCAGAAAACAGTTGTTTGCCGTCAGCTTAATCAAATGGGGTTTCATTGCGTACTACTGTACTGTAATGAGTTTTACCGGACACCAATCAGCTGATTATACTGTATTTGGATGGCATTGAGTGGTTATAAACAAAAACATAACCTCTCTTAGAGGTTATGACTAGCGATTTTTAGTCCTTTAGTTGGTGGTAATATATAAGGATTTGTACAGATTTAGTAGTATGGCGTAAACTAACGTACGTAGCTCGTCCAAAATGTGTGTACCGGACTCGTATGGTAATCCTGTACTCGACTTCGTCTCGCACGGGAACGACCACACTCGTCCGGTAAACACTTACTTTCAGGACTAGTAACGTAATATACTATTTTATCTTAGAATAAATTTCCCGTAAGGAGATTGGTATGTATTTCTTGTACTCACAAATATCTTTAGTATTCAAGAACACCACAGGATTGAAGATTTTAACAAGGATAAAATGATAGACAAAAAGCACGTTTGTGCTTATTTATTAGTTTCAGGTGTTCTCTGATTTCCATCAGATACAGTTTCTTGGCATTGACTAAGACAGAGAATCGTCAGCCTTGACAGCACCTGCGTTTCCCCCAACCTCCAGCTATAACTCGATTGCCGACCCTTATTTCTTCCCAACTGCAATTCAATCATCCTTTGTGTTCAGCGAAAGTCTTTCTCTAAATCACACTCTTCAAAGAAAATGTGTACAACTTTCTGCATCTCGTGACGATAGAGGCTATTCTTGTGTCGGACTACTACCCGAATCTTTATAGTAAATTTAAGTAAAACTCATTGAATAAAAAACAACAGAAATATGATCAATTTCACTGGATGTTGAAAGCAACATTTGCAAGTAATATCAGATCATTGAAAGATTCCTAATCTTTGGTCGATTCCGTAATTGTCAAATTGAGGTTTTAATCAACGTTTTTGCTCGAGCTGAAATCGGTATTCCTATTCACCTTATAGTTACACTTTTAGTTTTGAAGCAACATAGCCTAGAATTTATTTGTCCTTTAATTCAATAAGTAAACATAAGCGAGCGTTTTATTGATACATTACTGTCACTCAAAATTCGCTCTAACATTTGAAAGCCACTCAAAGTATTATTCCTAAGACCCTCCGTTAAACAGTTTAGAGCAATCACCTACAACCGTAATAGTAGTTTTTACTATTCAAGTATGACAAAAGATCCAAGTTCCAAATCACGTTTAATTTAGTACTTGTTCTGTCCCAAGATGTTTTACATCTTGGTTCTGCCCGTGCTTCGCAACGGCGAGAATACTTAAGAGAATAATGCGAGTCTCTAAATCTATTGTAAACAAAAGTTACACACTTACCATGCTAATTATATAGGCAATTCTCAATCGTACTTATTGATAAAAAAAATTAAAACCTCTTGTGTTTGTGTATTAAAATGTGTGGCAGAATAAAATTATTAACTCAGTTAAGAAATACTATAAGTTAAAACAAAAATGTAACAGGTAATGCATCTTCATATATTATTTTACTTGCATATGTTTGACTAGTAAACAAATTTAACTAAAATTCTGTCGAAACCCCTGACATGGAGGACCATTTTAAGAGGGTCTCGGGGCCCTGAAAGTGATTACGAAATTGATGGTGTATGTTCTCCATGAATTCTACATGTATGTACCAAGAGGACAAGGTCCAGCGGTGTTTGAGTTTATCACTGCCAAACAAATGTACAAACAAACCAACATTTATACTTATAGATTCACTACACTTGAAGCGACAGGGATTTCACTGCTTAATTGGGTAAGGTAAAACATTTTCACAAAAAAGATTCGATGATTCCCTTACCTTCCCGACCCCAGTGACCTCCTTGACCCCTATTCTCCTGAGCAGCGCTGGGGGTGGCGGGGGAGGAGATCGGTGCAGAACTCCGCAGAACCCTGAGGAAGGCACAACCTCGTCCTCCGTCCTCTTGCGGCGGTGAGGCGAAGCCGACAGGTTCAACTTCTGGGCAGCTCTGGAAATAACACAAAGAGTGAGGGTACAAGAATTAACACTGGCTTAAGTAAACTATTTTTTATATGTCCTCCCTTCACATACTTTCTAGGCCGGATCTATTTTACACATTGTATAAGGCTAGTCTTAAAGTGTCGTGGCATTATCACATAGATAAAATCCACTGATTGGTGAGCTGGTAACGTGGTAGAGCGCAGGGCTTCGGTGCCCGAGATCCCGGGTTCAAATCCGTCCATTCACCAATGGGTTTTATCCATGTGAGATGGTCACAACTCTTCCTAGGATGTGAAGGTGGGACTTAAAAAATAATAAAAAAGAATTTGTGATTGGCAGGATTCTATCAAAAGACCTTGTTATTCCTAAGCCCCGAGCTCTACCACTAGACCAACTCGATCTCTAATATGTGGAACTAAAAAAATAACCTCAGTGCAGTATTTCCTAAACATTAAGGATTTTCTTTTAGAGGAAATGATTAACTTACAATTACAACATTTAAAAACCAGTAGAGTTTTCTTAGGGTCTCAATATAAGATATTTTATGCATTTGTTGATTTGTAGAAACTGAAATGAAAGGTAAAACTCACACCAGAGTTAAACATAGATACTTTATTAGCCAATATCCAAAAGTAAATCCTCAAGCTAAAAACAACAATACATTCAAAACAAACATCAAAATATGCAACCTATGAAAACAATTATAAAAATACCAAACAGCACAGAAACTCTATAAACTTGATTTTAGATCCTAGTATAGGATCTGGTGTAAATTATATTAATATAGTTGTTAGGCTATTAAGATGATTATGTTTCTAAACCATGGTATAGAAAGGAAGACCTTTGCTACAGACAAGTATCAACATAGTAATACACAACAATAAAATATTAGAATATAAAAGATAGGGACCTAGCTAATTAACAGTTTTTTTCCATTACTAGGGAAGTGTTTTTAATTACACTTAGTATTCAGTTTTACTATTGAAGTAATTCCCGTTTAATCGCATTTTTCAATCTAAAGCTGTGAGTTTAAAATAAAGCTGAAAATATTTAGCCTACATGAGTTAATAACGTTGGATATTGATGTATGAAATAAAGCAAATAATCAACATGGGAGATCAACATAGATAATATTCAATATTGTATTTTAATTAGTAATACGATCGTATGTATTCTGATTAATTCCTTTGGTACCAAAGTCATAAAGTTTAAATAAGGATTAACCATTGAAGATTTTAAACTCTAATTAATTCGTTTCACTTTATCACTTACGTCTTTTATAATTTTACCTCAAAGAGGCTTCGTTTAGCATTACCATATTACCATATTACATTACCACATTACCATAATAACATTATGTAACATTATGTATAACATATTGACAGTAACATTATGTAACAGTATGTAATAACATTATGGTAATGTATATAACATTACCATATTAATGAAACGTTTGTTGTTGTAAATAGCAATTAATATTTTACATGATTTCTTTTAAAACTATCTACCTCAGTTGCACTTCAAGTCCTTCAATGTATATATTTCTCTTTTTATAAGTAAAATTGTGAAGATTTGTATCTACTTGAAAAAATATACAGATCACTAATTTAGTTGGATACAAAGAGTTGCAAAAGTGGGTATTCAAAATAACAACTGAACGATGTTATAATTTATTTAAAATATTTATCTATACTGTATAATAAAACACACTCAGAGAACATTCACGAATTATTCTCGTCGTCAAAGCTGTTAACTTCAAAAGGAGCAATAATAAATAACAAATTGGGGGCGGAGCTGAGAATTTGATTAAAGATTCCATTAGCACGTCCCTCAACACTGTATTATTTGTCACCGAATATTTGTCACTGCCAGGCTGTGACTTGGCTTCATATCTGTGTATGTGGTGAATTTCAGGGATCACATTGTACTGTACCGTCTTTTATTCGCTACCTGAAAATATTAGTAATGAAATTAAAAACCCACGTTGCAATTAAATTATTTTGTAGTTAATTGCCTTAAGAGCTTATGCATTATAGAGTAATATACATCAAAAACCTAAATAGTTCGTAATTTAACAATCATGATAATGCACTTCTAGTTTAATTAGGAGTGAAAACTGAGTTTTCTTTATGTATTTAGGTTATTTTTAAATACCTTTTTTAGTAGTCTACCTCAACTGTTGGTCCCTCCGTACATCTAGTTAAACATTTCGATCGGTGATAGAATACTTACTCACACTCAATTTCAAACAACCTTTGAAATTTAATTTAATTTTATCACAGTAATAAAAAAATTCTGCTGTGCTTTGCTTTATGCGGACAGCCATATCAGTAACAGTTTGTAAAATGTACGCAGGTTTAAAATGCAACACAGTAAATTAGGCAGTTTCTGTAGCGGTTTACAGTATTTAAGTAATTGCTTTATTTTGCTCCAAGTGTACTATTAAAGCTTTCTAGCTACTTCCTGTAAACGGCGTTTCATCATAAAAAAGGGGTTGCCCAAAAGAACCCGAAATTCCAATTTTTTTTAAGTAGATTTTTCTTGTAAAGCAGACTTTTACTTATCAAAAGAACTTGGACTTGGATCACCAGTTAATGAACATTTATGAGGGTTAACTGTACTGCGTTTAGTATCATATAATATTTACATATCAAAAATAAATAATACAATCACAAATAACTGTCTGACATGATGTTATGTATAAAGGAAGTTGAAAGGCAATTAGTTTTTTTTTCAACTTATTACTGTGATAATATCACATGTTGTGATGTAATGTACTTAATTAATTTACAACAAGTTATCAAAACTAGTTTTTTTTTACCAAAGAAGAAATTAACTAGATTTTAAAATGACCAACGTAGGACTGACTGTACGTTTTTTTATTTGTTATTTAATATTTTAATAATCAAAATTGACATATAGAGATCGGGTTTTATAATGACTATATAATGGTCATAAAAAGCACCAGCTTTAATAACACTGATTAAATACAAACCATAAATGATGTCTTAGAGGACCTAATTAGCTGTTATTTTAGGTCTTTCCACAGGAAGCTTATAAATGAAAACACATTCTCCATTTAGCGTAAAATGCTGTTTTGATACATAATATGCACCAACATTTATGAATCGCTATGTAGTAATTAAAGGAAATACGTATCAATATGTTTTACAATATTACAATATGTGTATGAGTACTTTAAAAACATGAGAAACATGAGAAATCTTACAACAGTTTAGATCCAACAATCAAAATAAATACGGGGATAAAAAAAATTAAATCTGTTAACACTGAAATAAAAATTACACAATAAAATAATTTAACACACTTAAAGATTATACAAAAAATAATAATGTTACATTGATATTATTTTGAACAGTGACACTGCACTGGGCATCTTCAAACCATTTTTAGACTTAAAAATAATACATTAAATACAAATTCTTATTGTTACTCGTAAAAATACAGTATTTAAAAGTTAATGTGAAAAGGACATTATTATTCATTATGTTCATGTTTGAGCTGAAACCTAAAAGTTAGATTTATCTTTTGTTTTTGAGAGCTCAGCGATCATCTAAAAATAGCAATTGTCCACCTTAGCAGTAAAAGAATTCAAGCAAAAATTTACTATCCATCGCTATTAACCGTTTATCTTTAAATTGTTCATTTCATCCCAACTAATTAATCAGTAAATAAACATAAGTATCATTCTTAGCGAAATCGTTGTAATACTTAATGTATCATTTCAACAACTTCATCAGAGGGTAAAAAAAATCCATTTTATAAATTGGAAAACGTAAAAAGGATGACCATTCAATAACTTTGATGATACTGTACAAATTATTACTAAACGCAGACCCACTGGTTTTCCAATTCATCACTTTCAGCTTTAACCGACATGTTAACAGGGAAAAGTGAATTTGTTGAATTGCAGACGAATATTTCCATTTCGCAAATCAATGTAACATTTATTTTTGTTCATGATTAAATTACTAATACAAGTAAAGGCAATTAGCAGCGTTAATCTAATTATTTTAGGTAATTGCTTCTACTATATTTTATATTTATAAAAACCAAATGTTAACAAACAAGTTTTTTAATGGTTTTAAATATTGTGATGCCATATACATATTGTACTTAGTTTACCTTCAAGAGTCTTAGTAGACAAGAAAAGTTAATTTCTAGAGCCAATCTATTTTGTTGTTTTATACCTTTATTTACCTATACAATAGAACTTAATCAAACAAAATGCAATAAAGAAAACATTAATTCATTAAGTTAATTAATTAAAACAGTTTTTAATGTAAAACTAAAATTACCTTAAAATTGTTTACTGTGCACGAGGATGATGATTTAATATTACAATGTATGGATGACATTCTAAAGGACCAAGAGCATCACAAAACACATTATTAAAATTATTTAATGGACGCCAAATTAGTGTTGAGGTATTAATTTTTACGTATTGTCATGGTAGTTAAATACACCAGTTAAGTTCGGTACCAATAATAAAATAATAAGTTTTAATAAAGAAATGGATTTGCCTAATATTTTTATTATTGAGTTAAATCTACACAATAAAATAAGCACCTTTTTAGGTAATATATCATCGTGATCTGTACAAATGATTAGTACAAATGTTTTTACGCTACAAGGCAGTTTATATAAATTTTTTAATCGACAAAACCTTTCCGACCAAAAAACCTTAATCGACGAAACTTTTTCGTTTCGAAGTCTCCAGAGGCTTCTCGAAATACTATTCCTCCAAATTCAAATAGTCTATGATTCTTTTTTCATATAAATGCCACCAAATGCTATTAGCATTCCATAAATCTACACCTTATTACCGTCCCTGTAGCAGAAAACCTAAGTACCAGTGTAAGCTAATTTTATTTAAATCTGACAAATTCATTTAAGGAAATATTTGAGGAAAATCCAGTTAGGAAATTTGCTTCGTCTGTAGGTTTGCGTTGGCGGGGTATCTTCAAATCTGTTAACATTAATTATTGCCTCACTTTCGTTCTAACTAGAATAAATGTAACAACACGTATATACAAATGCACTATAGTCTACAATGAATATAATGATGCAACTTTACAAAAACATTCTTCAAAGTCGTGGAAACGTTTTTGCAAGAAAAGTTCATTCTACAGACGTGTTGGATTTAAAAACAATCAGAAATACATAATTGCGAAGTAAGACCATGATAACCATAACCCAAAGACCAAGGACCATAAAGAACCACAAAGCTTCTTGATGACGATCTTGACAAAATCATCTTCTACTAAATGTATTTGCAGCAACGTATGTAATAAATATGCTAAAACACGACGGGGAAGTTTTAATTGACAGTAACATGAATAGGCAAAGAACCATTTGCACAAACAATAGTGTAATGTGAATCATGGTTGGCTTTAACATGAAGCCTTTCCAGTAGAAGCAGACATCAAAGACATGTTTGGCCGCCAATTAGGGAGGATTGTGGTCTTTGAGAAGATCATCCCTCCATAACTCCCTCATTAATACCACTTGTGATAGCAGACGACAGAAATGTAAATAAAACTGTTTGAAGTAGGAAAAGGGGGATGGGGAGTCATAGATGTAAACAAGTGCATCAAGAGAATAAATAAAACAATCAGTGTAAAGGGCTTAAAAGAAGAGTTTGACAGTTTTCATTATCACTAAAGAACCATAGCTTTTACTTTCAGTACAAATAATGTGGGTTTTATAGAATTTATTCTTGGCTGAAGTTATTTACTATTATAATTAAAGAAACCTGTCAAACATTTACATAAAACCCTTTGCAATCCATGAATGTATGCTGAGAGCGGCTTATAATTTAAGCGCTTCTATGACATTCACGTTTTAATAATTTGTAAGAATAATAAAATGTATAGTGGATTTTAATTGTATTATAGCTACATCTATTCTATTAGACATAATAGTGTAATTTAATAATTCTATTATGATCAACTAATAAGTCAGGACAGGTCTTATGGACTAAAGTACAATATTTACTTCTCCCATTTATTCATAAAATATACAAAGAGTTCAATATTTTGCGGATAACAGATTAAATAGGTCGGAAAACAAAGGGATAAAAAGTTGATAAAAGCTAGCAAATTTAAAACCCAACGTGAGTCATAACAACGGACATTAACTGCACAATAACGTCAATCCATGAAAAACATAACTAGTAGTAATAGTTTTAGCAGGACTTAAAATGTTTCGCCAGTGGCCTCAGATAGTAAAAAGCATACAGACAGTTTCCATTTTGTAGCGTTGCTGCAATCATTGGAATGAAACAAGAAAATGTGATGTCCATTTCGTAACTCACAGGGGCTGTTATTGCAGTATGAGTAGAGTTGTTTTTCCATTTCACCCATTTAAACGCTATTCACTGGTTTTGAATGGTTGTTAGTGAATAGCATAATGGAAAATGTTCACCTGTTTGAAAACAAAACTTTGCCTAGCAATGCTTATTGTCTATGTAATTCTGCGTTACTGTCGAAAATGTTAACTTGTGGTTGGAAGCTAACACAAATTATATGAACAACAAATTTGTTTAAGAAATACATTATGTTTATGTAAATATCTATATATAGCTGAGTACCCGTCCTTCGTACGGGGTTGGTATACAATGCTTATTGTAGTTAAATACTCGTGCTTTGCATTTGCAATGAGAGAGGACACGTTTTGAGAAAATTTGGTTTACTATAATCTACGGTATACTATAGTATATAGAACATCTACCATTGCCATAATGTTCTACAACTTCACCTAAACAATAGAAAGAAGTAAAGTTCTCACACTCAGGTTTTTGTTGCTGCTTGGTTCAAATTAGCTGATGTCATAAATGTATAAAGAACTAATGGTGCTGCACCCTGTTGGTAAACCGTATTAACTTTTAATGCTATTGAATATCATAGAAACAAATTGTGTAGTTTGAAACAACTGGCAAAATGATTTAATTCCTTTTAAATATGAAAACTCATAAGGTTAACATGGGGAACTCTAGAGCCGCTGGGGCGGAGCCCGAAAGGATTTTTGAGGTAAGAATATGTCTATATGTTACTCGGGAATGTGAGCTATCATCATACCAAATTTCAACACAATCCGACCAGTAGTTAATGCGTGATTGAACTTCAAACAAACAAACACACAAACTTTCACATAATACTATATGATATATAAAGGCAAAGCCCTCACTGACTGACTCACTCACTCATCACTAATTCTCACACTTCCCATTTACATAGGAAGCTGAAATTCGGTACACCGATTCTTTGGTCATTAAATAGGAAAACTAAGTAGTTTTTATTTTGATCGGCTCCGCCCCAGTGGCTCTGGAGTTTCCCATATTAACCTTATGATTTTTCATATTTAAAGTAATTAATGAATCTTAACAGCTGTTTCAATAAAACAAGTTGGTTCTGTTCTATGATGTTCAATAGCATTAAAGTTACAATGATTACCAAGAGAGTGCAGCACTATTATTTTTTTTTAACTTACGACAACAGCTAATTTGCAACCAAAAGGTGAGTGAGCGTAGCGAACGAACTTCAACCTGGAGGCAAGTTAGCGTAGCGAACGAGATAATCTAAAGGCAAGTGAGCGCAGCGAACAAGCTCCAACCTAAAGGTGAGTGAGCGTAGCGAACGAACTACAACCAGAACGTGATTGAGCCATGCGAATACTTATGAAGTTAAACGGGGCAAAGCCCGCAGGTACAGCTAGTATACTTATATAACAGTCTAGATGCCGTTTTCCAAAGCCATTAATATTTCCAAACTGTAACTGTGAGTCAAAATAGAGCCATATTTACTAAAAAAAATTAATATATATATATACACTATATAGTCAATGGTATATAGTCAGTGGACTAGTGTATATGTAGGCAATGCTTAAACTTAGATGCGAAATTTTAAGTGTTTTTAAGATGTGAGTAAACTAGAATAAGACTATGTGTGTGGCTGTTTAACTAAGCATCATGTATAGTTATATCTTCACCTACCCTACTGATAACGTAATTTGATGACCAAACTTTGGAGGTCTATGTTCTATACGTATACACAGGCAATTCTAGGATGAAATTCCCTATGTATTATGGTAAAACAATGAATAAATATTTCATGATTTAGTATTTCTAAAACAGATTAATCAAAAGAATTCATAGATTTTTGATAATGAAAACAGTATTTGCTTAAATAAACCAATAATCAGCTCAAATATGTGCCGTTTAGTAAATATATTTTACGCCACACTACATCATTTTGACGAACTTCCCACGCAAGTATTTAGTCCAGAAAACAGCTGTTTGCCGCCAGCTTAATCAAATGGGGTTTTATTGCGTACTATTGTACTGTAATGAGTTTTACCGGACACCAATCAGCTGATTATACTGTATTTGCGTGGCAATTGGTGGTTATAAACAAAAACATAACATCTCTCAGAGGTTATGATTAGTGATTTTTAGTCCTTTAGATGGTAAGGATTTGTACGGATTAAGTTGTATGGCGTAAACTATCGTACGTAACTCGTCCAAAATGTGTGTACCGGACTCGTATGGTAATCCCGTACTCGACTTCGTCTCGCACGGGAACGACCACACTCATCCGGTAAATACTTATTTTCAGGACTAGTAACGTAATATACTATTTCCTACCACTGCATGGTAATCATCATATTGCCATACGGGTAAACAATACGCAAAATAGCACATGCCGCTCTAGAGCGGGAATGGATCTTTCCCGCTAACCTATTTAGCTGATTTCCGTGTTGTGTTTCTAGACCAAACACACCCACGAACCCGGTACGACAGTTAACAACAGGTAAGAAACAAATAACCTTTAAAAAATGAAAACATAACCTAAATGACATTTTATATACAGCTAAAAAATTAATCTGTTTTTTTATTATAAGTTAATTGTGTTGATAGGAAAGATCTTTTATGCGTTACGAGCACTACATTCATTGCAGCTCTCGAAATGTATGACCACACTCAATTAAAGCTCCATGATACAGTTCTTGAATGGCAATGACGTAGCCTACTTCGCACTCTTGATACGCAAATAGATATTCAGGATTCATTCTTAAACTATAGTAATTAGTTCTCCATGATATCCTTCTGTGTTGAAGATTAGTTGAGAATAGTAGTAGTTGAGAGAATAGTTTATGCATATCTTATTACAATACATAAAGAAACAAACTACTGCATCACTTACCCTTCCATCTTTTTTGTGTGGTTGACAGCTAAGTTATCATGACTCTCGCACGCACATCACTGCCACATACGCACCCGCGCACATGTTATGATCCAGTTCAAACTACGTTCTGAACATTAGAAAGTGATGGGGTTACGTGAGATTAGGAACGATGATCTGTAATAGGATAGTTTTTAGATTTTATATATAAAAAAATTGACGAGTTTAAAATAAAATTACAGTAAATATAATAAAGATAAAAGAATGTTATTTAAATATTAGTTTCTACCAATTCGATTTGCACAAAGTTGGAATTTATTTCTTAAATCAAAATGGCAAATGATATTAGGCCTACATAAAATGTGTATTTTAATCTGGTGTTAAAATTGTGTTTTAGATTTTAATATTTATTATTCTAGCATGTAAGTTACTACAATTATCTGAAGAATTATAAAAATTTATTATAATTTATTAATTTTTTTTCAATTATAAAAGTTTAAATCCCTTTTTTTTACTGAAACTCATTAAAAATTCTAAGTTAAAAATTAGAAACCTCAGAAACTTGAGGCAATTTGCAAAATATGGTTGATTATATCGGTTATTAGATGACGTGTAAGTCTAAAAAAAGAAGATAATTTAACAACATATTGTGTTATGTAAAAGGTGATTAAAAACATTTGACAAATAACAACAATTAATTTTATTTTATATAAAAAAATTCTAAATAAATTAATTAAATCCCTATGCTAACTTAAAAAAATTCAAATTTGCATACCTAAATGTATTTAAAAGTGCACCTTACCTAATCATTATAAATGTATAAAAATATAATCACGTGAACATTAGGAACGAAACGCGTAGGAACTAGCGCCGCGATGCCATGACCAGACTACGCGCCGGGCCGGGGCGAACTAACACTAGCTCGTGCGTCGCGGCGCTATCCTCCCCCGCCCCCACCAGTGCTACCAACCCCCAAAACAGCCTACGGCGTAGATAAGAGCAGTCTGGCGTTAATTGCCGAGAGATTTGTCTTGGATCTGATTTGTCTGTGATCTAACTTCACTCGAGCTAGGACTCCTTTTAGTTTGGGCTTTAGCCGAGTCTGGCTACTGCTTTATTTTATGTCCGTTTTACAGCAGAGTTTTGGGTTTTATGTAAAACGTTCACGACAATGACGGTGCTTTTGTGTACTTGTCTTAGTGACAAAGGAGTAAATAATTTATGGCGTAACTAAATTATTTTGCTATAATGTTTAATTGTAAACAAATGGCGTATAAGGACGATTTAAATCTATCTAAATATGTTTTTTTGTAACTAGAGGCTTATAAAATAACTGATACTTTTTATTTAATACTAAGTATAAAACGTAATAGATTTTATTGGTTTTTCGATGGTTTATGTTTTATGCATATGCACTAAACATACCCTACATAAGATGGAACAGCCTATCGAACATAGTAATGTATCACTTTCTAAAACAATTAATTTAATATCTATTCCTTTATTTGTTCTTAAAATAAACCTTTCCACTTTTCATTACAATATCGTCTGCAAAATTTATATTTTGAAATTACGTTCTAGTTCTATTGATAGCTACGAGTTCTGATTAATCAAATGCAAAGGAAAAGTTAATTGGTGGTAAACATAAGCTAATTTAATACTGCACAGTTTTTATTCATAATTTAAATAGTTATTCTTCGCTGTACACTTTTTATTTTATTTTAAGTTTTTATATCATAAAATTGGTGCTGCCATGGTTTATTTACTACATTTTACGTCTAAAAATGATTTGATTTCTTTACGTAGATTCATTATTCTGTTGATTGATGATGTATACTTTGCCCTATATTAATATATCATTCACATGTATAATATTCTTCCCTTTGTTTCCTTACGATTTTATACATAGAATAGCTAAGTCATCACAAAATACATACCATACTTTTCCAGGATTAGTTAAACTTTCATTACAAATTAAGTGAATACAGATGTTGTGTTTTAAAGGTAAATTGTTTATTCAACCTAAGTATTACGCAAATACAAGTAAGGCGATGAAACTTGGCCTTTATGGCCGAAAGCGCATTCACTTAAACGTTTACTACCCAGGTTTAATAATGAAATTGCCTTTGTTATAGTCAGTATATTCCTGAATCATGTTTGGAATTTAAAGCTTATCCTGGCACATAAAGTTCTCCATAAACCTCATATTGCAATGCTTCAGTACAAAGTTTAATTGTACAGTTGTATATTCATCATATTGTTTATGTCTATGAGAAAGTTGATAGACAATACGGTTTTTATGATGTTAACTAAATATAATTTCCCAACATTTTCTTGATGTACTAAACCAAATTAGTACATCTTTTTAAATCTGTAAGTTTAACCTATAGTAAAACATGAGGTCGCTTGCTACATATGTTTTCGAATGGGTATATGTTTTCGAATGGGTATAATATAGAATAGACGAATGGGCATCGAATGGGCATTCATAGACGGTTACTAAAGTTTAACGTACACAATAGTTATATGATAACGCAAGTTTTCAGTAAAATATTTAAAATACTCCCTTATTCCTAATTTATGTAATTTTTTTTGTTTAAAAATTTCATTCTATCAGTTTACCTTAATATGTTTCCTTTTTTAATCATAGGATTCACTTATCAATGAGCAGAGCCCATTTTTAGCGAATTTCCCGTATAGGGAATAAGCTATTACCGTAGTACTCATGGTAAGACCTGGACCCGGGACCGATTTTTTTTTTCGTTTTGAGGTCCCTAGAGGCCAAAAACACCATCCGTTCAAATTCATATATATATATCCGTTAGCGCGATAACTCGAGCAAAAATGATCCGATTTTGATGAAATTTGGTACAAATGTGTAAACCTACGTTTATTCGAACGAGTTCGCGAACCAGCATGATCGGACCATGGGAATGGAGGCTTATGGGGGCTTTTATGGGGTAAAAATGGGGTTTTCCCATTTTTGACCCAAAAAACATAAAATTTTGCAATTTCTTTCTAAACTATTTTATAGAGCTTAAAAAAACAAATAATTTAGTATATTGAAGCGTTGTAATGCGCCTAATGGTTGCGGAGAAAATTTCAAAAAATTGTTAATTTAAAATTTCCATGTTATTCTTATGGAGAATAAGTAAACTGCTTGCTTGTTTATTAACATATTTTACCCAAATTTGGAAAATGTTTTTATTTCTTACCAACTATTAACATTTTACATAAAACACACTTTTACCCTCCCTGTTGCAGCAAACCTAAGTATGTTTTAAACTGATTCTATTTAAATAGGGAATAAGTGTGATATTTTTAAGGAGACATTTTAGTGTAAATCCATTCAGGGAAATGGAAATTCGCTTAGTCTGCAGGTTTGCTGCGGCAGGGGTATTTTTTTATAAATCGTCAACTGTAATAAGGCTGGTAAATTAAAAAAATATGTCTAGGCCTAAATAAATTGCACCCTAGTATTCAATCAATATACATTAATTAATACAAATTGCTTGGAAAATGTGATTTTTAATAGTATCGTCACATAATGTAAAGACAGAGACTTAATTTGTTTGTTTGCATTTCTTTTTCGATATATTGTTCTTCAATTTATAATATTACATTTCTAACTATTTACATTTCGAAATTATTCAAATTTATCGTAACTGGACCTATTTTAACAACAATTAGCTTTTATTATAAACTTTACAACCGAACGATAAATGAAAGCTGGAGCATTAAAGACGTCAACTACCACTTATTAAAGTCATCTCTGGTTTTATTAGCAATATCTAGTTATTCTGACATAGAAGCTCACATTTTATGGCATCCGTGGTTTAATAGCGCCATAAAGATAAAAGCTCCACCTTTTGGCGCCTTTGACTTAATGGCGCAAGATATGGATTGATATTGCTGCGCTTTGTTCAAAGTTATAAAGGAAAATCTTAGTTTTTAAAGAGTCTTAGATAAAAAATTATTAACAACATAAGTGCCTATCTATATAAGAAAGACTAATTACAACAGTTAAAAATATTTACAATTGTTAATAGTTTCATTATTATTAACAAGACGAATAATATTTAAAGATAAAATGAGCAAAGTATTTATGTAAAAGTTATAGTCAATATTAATTTCCTTGAAAACGACAAGGCTAGATTTATTTCTCATACTACAAACAGTACAAGCAACATAGATTTACAAGCAACACATACTAAATTAGCATACATAACTACTTATCACGTAATTCAGATCGAATCTTAAACTAAAGGTCCACCATATCAAACCATTTAGAAAACAAAGGAACATGTTTATTAGACAAAGACAACTTTCTGTATTGGGGAACTCCCTTCAGCAGAAGCCACTTAACCATTGTTTATGATTCAATATTAGAATAACTAACTGTTACTCAAGAGCTTCACCCTGCTTGACTCCATCAGAATTAATAAAAACTATTGATTGGTTAAATTAAGCTGAAACGAACAAAACAGAATTCAGTAATGCAAACATATAATCACACCTGATTTTAAAAAGGTATTAAATTGAAAGAATAACAAATAAATATGTACAGTTGAGGTATTTTTAACACCAGGTATATGGGACGTTCCCTTTAGAAAGCAATTACGACCATAAAGGGCAATTTATGAAATAATGGATAATTTTACGCTAGGTTTCTTGTCATGACGATTATTTTAAGTATATTGTTTATGGGGGTGTGACTTGTAGTTTTCTCAAAAGTTCTTGGGTAATTTGGGATTTATATATGGAAAATAATGATCAGACGATAATAACAGAACGAAAAAATAATCAAATCCAGAATATAATATAAAGTAAATGAAGAAGAAGAATTATACGAGAATATCACAGGAATCTCATTAAGATGTCTACAAGGATCACATCTGGCGTGTTCAATTTGTCTGCAAGAAAAGTGATGTTGCAAATGATGAAGACGGTAGTTGAGTTTGTACAACCCAAGATTGGGAAATCTTTATTGTTCAAAGGAGAAATGTGCGGTTTATTTGAGAAATATGATTTTACAAATTTCTGTTTAAGGTAGAATGTATTATTTCAATGGATAAAATATAAAATCTTACTGGAAGAACTTAAATAAAATGACACAAAATGCTTTTTACAAAGTTTAA